TACGATTATTAGATGCCAAGTTATTTAATATATTCTTTATATAACTGTGATTATAAACGGTTCTTTTTAATATAAGATTTTTGAGGATAGGTGTGATAGTGACTATAGATAGATTGTGACTATATAGGATAGTTTTTAATAATAAAGTGTTTTGAACATTCAACTGGTGTGACTATATAGTAGAATGTGACCATAACGGGAGTGACTATTGAGGGAGTTGACTGTATTTATAAATTGGCATTTTTTATTTTCTTTATGATATTTTATTAAAAAGGAAATTCTAATTCTTTAAAAATTGATTTTAATTTCCATTTGGCATCAGAATCAATTACCGGATGAGTAATTTTATTAGTTTCTATAAATATATCTAACTCATCTGTTTCATATTCTTCATTTTTGTTAGCTTCTTCTTCTAACATTTCTGCCCATTTTTGTAAATAATCTCCAAACTCATTTTCTAAATTAGTTAAATCATTATTTTTATCCTCCCCATTTCATTTTCTGGAATTTGTTCATTATTTTTTTTGATTTCTTCATTATCATTTGTATTATTTTTGTTAACATCATTTATAATACTAAGTGGAGTTATTAAAGTAGAAGAAGTACTAGAATTAATCCGATGCTTCTATGTAATATCTGCTTTTAATTTATTCATAGTAAGAGTTTTTGATGACTAAATATAAAGACAATAAAGTATTAGTATTTTAATATTAAAAATTTCAATATTTATAATAAAAATAAAAATACCTTTAAACGATTTCGTCGATTTGTCTGTAAGAAACCCATACAACTCCAAAGATGCTCCACAGAAGCTGCATTTACACAAATTCCAAATAATCTACAAGCAACTAAGCCTAATTCATTTGTAGATGTTTCTGTGAAATACCAATATTCCCAAATATCTCCATTAAATTGCTTATATATATTATAATTAAATGGATATTTTTCTAAACGAAAGTCATCAAATTCACGTAAAATACAGGTAGATTCTTTTTCAAACTATGCTTGATAATAGTAAGTGAGTCATTTACCAAATGTAGTATAATTAATCTTAATATTAGTATCCTTGAATTGATTTGTCTTATACTAGAGATTCTAGGCGAAACTGAAATATTTAGTCATTTGACTAAACCGAAATAGTTTAGACATTTAAAATTAAAAGATGAAATGCTGAAATTCAATATTCCATAGTATTTCCATGAATTTTTTATAGATTTCCATAGATTTTTAATTATAATAATTACTTATAAAAAAAAAAATAATAAATTCATATTAAAATATAATATTTTTTAAAGGAATTTATAAAACTATTATATGTATAATATAATTTCATATATTTTTATAATAAAACTATAATTTTATATAATTAATATTTAAACTTAAAAATTATTACTATATAGTTTAGTCAATGACGAAACCGAAACTAGTTGGTGACGAAACTGAAATTTTTGGTAAAAAGAGTTTAGCCAGGTATCACTATCTTATACTCAAGATGTACTAATAAGCACGCCAGTAAAAGTAAAGACTGTTCCCAATCATTTCACCTGTTCTCTAATTTAATTATTAATTTTGCGACAAGTTGAGTATCTTCATAATTAGTCCAAAATTGAATAAGATATGCGAGACCATGTATAACTTGAAATAATCTTGCTTTATCTTGTTGAAGAATATTTAATATTTTACAATAAGGATATAACACTTCTACAATTATATTTAAGTTGTTCCAAAATGTACTACACAGGTCGAAAAGTGAAAAATCAGGCACCAATCGGTCACCAATCAGGTAGCTGATTGGTGCCTAATTGGCATTTTCGTCAAATACCGTCACCAATCAGGCAGTTTGCTAACTTTTGATCCAGTGATCAGAAAAGAATGAAATATAGCTCATTAGAATCGTCTCAACATGACGAATCTAATGGTAGTAAAATCTCATTTCTAGGATTAATACTTGATGAGAAATTAAGTAAAATATAAAATAAAAATGTATCATTTATATTTTATTTAATTTTTTATTAA